ATCGGAGTTGGCTGCACTGTCAGTTAGGGATGATTTGTGTACCTTTTTCGAGGACAGGGTGGTCCTCAGATTGGATCCTTCCTTTGTTCCAAAAGTTAATACCTCATTTCACAGGTCACAGGAATTAGTTCTTCCCAACTTTTGTCTGCATCCCTCACATAGACTGGAACGGCAGTGGCATAAATTGGATGTGCGTCACTATGTCAAGCGAACCTCAGTCTTTCGCAAGTCGGAGGCCCTGTTCATGTCCTTTCAACTCTCTGCCATGGGTCGGAAGGTTTCATCTTCCACCATAGGTAGGTGGATAAGGGCATGCATTGCTCAAGCTTATATTTCTCAGTCACTTCCAGTTCCCACACGCATTACTGCTCACTCGATGCGCAGCGCAGCTGCGTCTGCTGCTTGGGTCCAAGCAGACATCGGTTGAGGATATTTGTAGGGCGGCGACGTGGTCGTCCCCTTCTGTCTTTGTGAGGCATTATAAGATAGTTTTGCAGCGGCAGACGCTGCATTTGGCAGGCGAGTCCTGCAACAGGTTGTTTCTTCTCAAGGGACACAAGCCTAGACTTTCCCACCCATGGGGACATGAGCGGCTTTGGTATGTCCCATCCAGTGGATTCTACATTCATCATGCTGGAGAAGGGGCGTTGTCTTACCTGAACGCCTTTTCTCAGCATGGTAATGTAGAATCCACACCCTCCCGTTATGATAGTCTAGGCAGGTGTCATAAAAATTGGAGCTATTGCGCCAGACTTTTTCAGTGATGCTTTGCCTCGTCAAAACTGGGAAGACACACCCAGAGTGAGGTGTGGCCAAAGTTCTGACCTAGTCTCTTGCTGAGCAGGAGGGCTGAAACTACCCATCCAGTGGATTCTATATCATCATGCTGAGAAAAGGCGTTCAGGTAAGACAACGACCCTTTGCAAGAGTATTTCTAACTACTTAAAACTGGGATGGGAATCTCTGGATTCCCCTGGCTACAGAATCCCAAAGGATTTCATGAGGCAATTGGACTTTCTTGTTTTTCTTTGAAGACCTGGATGACTGAGAATCTCCATAGACATCTGGGTGCAGAGGTTTCTCTCCCTTGTTTGAGATGTGTTAGCTCTATTTTGCCTGCTCCATGACTTTCTCTTTAGGAAAACACTTAAGGGGCCAAAGACAGTGATGATCGCCTTGGAATGCCTAATTCTCTTCCCTTGAAGAGTGCCATGGAGTACCAAAAGTAATGAGTACAACTATAAGCCTCCCGGCTTTTCCTTCCACCTTCTCCCCAATCTTTCTCCTCAAGAAAAGACTGGGACAAACCATCTCACTTTAATGTGACTCTATGCAGCTTGCAGTAAAATACATAAAACGGACAATATGAAAAATAAACCAGTCATACACACAGCCACTAGACAGGGTCTATCATGTCCAGGGCCCAGGTTTTAGGCACAGGAACCAAGTTTTCAAGGTCTTGAAAAAATGTGAATATAATTCAACTGACTGGAAATTGTGATCATATCCAATATATTGATCTAATATGTAAGCTAAAAATTGTGACAGGAATATCCAAGATGGTCAGTCAGTCTAGTAGAATATAAACAGTCTATCTGTCTGAGTTTCCACTTAAATTGGAAATGTCTCCATTCAACATGATAGTAATAGATCTTTAGCTAGAATATATATATTGTTTCAGAAAATGCATGCTTAAGGATTTACCAACATACCTTATTTTCCGACGTATAAGATGACTTTCTAAATCATGAAAATCTTCTCAAAAGTCAGGGGTCGTCTTATATGCCCAGTCGTCTTATACGCCAAAAAATACGGTACCCAAATTTGGTGGACTTTGAAAAAATATGGACATATAGTGATATTCTAAATTCTGAAGGGAATTTAAAATCTAAACAAGAAATGGAAAATCAGGGTATCAACTTGCTGTGGTGGGCACATTTACAAATGCAAACTAGATATGAAAAAGATGTTAAACTATGGATTTTATAAAGAACAAATGGTATTTGATAAGACTTTGTTAACTTCAGATGAGAAATTAATTAAGAAAATATATAATTTTTTATTAACTTTGGAAATGGAAAGCGAACAAGTTAAAGAAACAATGATAAGATGGGCGAAAAATTTTGGATACAACATAGAATTAGAAAAATAGCAAAATTTATGAGAAAGAAATTATAAACTGACAATGTCAACTTCTTATAAAGAAAATTTATATAAAATGTTTTATCGATGGCACCTGCCAACAGCAAGATTAGCAAAAATGTTTAAAAATATGTCACATAGATGTTGGAAATGTAAACACAAGTCAGGCATGTATTTTCATGTTTGGTGGACATGTGATAAAGTAAAGAATTATTAGAAAAAGATACATACTTGGTTAGAAAAGATGTTGGGAGAACATGTAGATTTTAAACTTGAACTTTTTTTATTATATAATACCAGAAAAGATTAATAAACAAAGCCTATATTTGATTTTACACGTCACTACAGCGGCAAGAATAATATTTGCGCAACATTGGAAAAATGAAGGAATATCATCAGATGAAGTACTAGATATACGCAGAGATTGAAAGACTGACCATGAGACTGAAAGAAAAGAAACAGAATATTATCAAACTTGGGACTTATTTTACCGATGGTTAGAGAAAGAATAAAGGATTAGGAATTAAGTATGTATTAGTGTATTTAAACCCAGACAGCATGTTGGTTGAAAAATTATTATTGTATGTATGGAAAAAATCAATACAATCTTATAAATAAAAAAAAAACCACAATCATTTGCCTCATTTGAGACAGTGATGAGTCTGCACATAGATAGGAAGTTGAACAACTGGCCCTGTGGTGCAGCTGGAACCATCTGGAGTTGAACATGTTTGAAACTGTAGACATGAGAGAAGATTTCAGGAGTAGCCCTTCTATTATACCACCTCTTCCTACTTTTTGGTTCTGCACACTGACTTTGGCGGTGGCTTTGGTGGCGGGGTGGAATGGTTTCACCTAAATCCCATGCATGCACAAATATCCAGTGGTGGGATTCAGCCGGTTTGAACCACTTTGGCAGAACCGGTAGCTAATTTTGTGTTGCCCAGGCCCAGAATGGACTTCTGGAAGTGGCATTCACACAGAGAACCCGTTGTTCACATATTTGAATCCCACCACTGGAAATATCCCCTTTGACTGTGAGAAGTAGAAAGAGAAAACTTAGCAAGTCTTGGACAAATAAAGAGAAGGTGTTTTGATTCTTATATAGTTTCAATTTAGTCTGCAATGGAGTACTTACTTTAGCCAATTTGTGAGTCTTTTTTCAAGAAGGAAGACATGAATAATCAGTTATTATGTGATAAACTGAGATATTCACCTGAGTAGATGGGGGGAGAGGAAATGAAAGCATTTAAAAGAGGCATTCTTGACAGCTGCAACCAAAGGAGAAATGAAAATTCTACTTCCTTCTAGCTAAACTCATAGGATGGAAGGAGGGATTGGAAATCTCATATGCTTCAAAAGCTGAAGAAATAGAAGATGGACACAATACATTCCAGCCATTCATGACCAAGAAAAGATTTAACTTCAAAGGAAATAGGAAGAAGAAAATAGAAAGGTGTCATAAGGGCTGAATTTTGCAATTCAAGATTCAGAAAAAGAGAGATACACATAAAAATATTTCATCTATGTCCAAATATCCATGAACTCAGAAGGCAGGAAGAAAAAGTCTAGAGTTTGAATTCTAGAGTACACACCTATACATTTATTTCTTCACACTGTAAAGAACAAATCATTTGTTATATACTGTATACCAACACATTTAATTCTTGTCTTCAATAAAAATTCTACTTTAGCTATCGTACCTGAGAGTCTTCTGCCAAGTTTAGCCAATTGCTAAATAAAGGGTTAAGTGCTCTGGAGACCTGAGATTTATTGCTCTGTCCTGGTATAAAGCTTGACAGCAACTATGTTAAATGTTGTTATTCAATAAAGGTGCATACTTTAGGAAATGTTGGTCAACTGAGTATAACATTTTTTTTATGAAGGCAGTGACAGCCCATTTCTACAATATTGCCCAAAAAATTGCATGGATGTGTTCGTGTAATTATTACTGAGTCACGTTTGACTCAAGAGTGCTTTTATTTTTACTTAAAAACTATTAAGATACCCTATTTATACACACAAAGAAGAACACATACATTTCTTTATCTAGCCCCAAGAAACAGAAAGGAAAAATATCAAAAAGAGTTAGGTTGGAGGGATAGTTACACAAGAAAATGAATGAAAGTGAAGCAAAGATAAGGAAACCTAATAGGAATGAGGCAAGAAGTGGTTAACTAGAAAGGGAAGGAAATAAAAGGGGGAAAAAGCTCAGTTTAAGCATCACAAAAAGGAATAGGTTTACCAGCCAAACAACTCTTCTCAAGCAGCTATAATTTTCAAGGGGTTAGGGTTATTCTATAAAGTAATTCACCCATCTAAATTATTGCATTATTGCTTTTCTAGTAATTTATTCCGCATGGTGTTTATAACAATCACAATAAAAAAAGTCTTAAGATACAAATAAATATACTAGAAATTATTTTTGGTTTTTACGTATTACATCCCAGAGTGTCGGTTATCATAAAATGCTATAAATAAAGTTGATTTATAATAAATTCTATCTTCTAGTAGCTATAGGAATATTAATAAACACAACTCTGATTTGTATTTACAAGTAATCCTTAGTGTTTTTTAAAAACTTTTTGCCTTAATGTTAAATAAAAACTCACCCATTATGGGGCACTATGTATGAACCTGGCCATTATAACTTGTTTAACAAACTATACCTTAAATATGTAACTGCATCAAAACAGACATTTAGGGTTCAATATTTTCCTTGAAGTAAATCCTATTACACTGAATGGACTTATTTCTAAATCCACACACTTTTGCATTCATTATTACAGTTCACAATTTAATAGTCCCTATATACAGTTATATTATATCTTAAGTTCAGTTTCAGATTCGGTACATACCTGTACACTGGCTGGTATAACTGTAGACCCTGAGGCAGAAGATGGTCTATGTGGAGTTGATAACTGTTTAGTAGCACCCTGTGCTCCACTTCCTGCTGCTCCAGAGGGATTAGTCCTACTAGCCCCACTTGAATTTAAGCCGCTTCCCCTATTGATAGGTACATTTAATCCAACTCCACTCATGTTATTTTTGCCAGAAGTTCCAGAGGCAGAGGAACTGGATAATTTAGAAAGGGCTTGAGGATTCTTTGCTGGTTGAAGGCCTGAGGTTCGGTTAGAAGAAAGTAAATTTATTGTGGAAGATTGTCGGTTGACACTTACTCCACTGGACTGTTTATGAAGGGAATTGTTGGGGTGACTGTTCTGGGTTATTAGTGTACTTGGACTGGAAGAACTGGAGGAGGATGTGGGCTTGGTTGTAGAGGTGGTCTTAGATGAGGGAAGTTTAAGAGATGCAGTAGGTTTGGATGTTAGAGAAGGCTTGGGTGCTGGGGGTTTGGGAGAGGCAGCTGGCTTAGGAGAGGGAACCATGGAGAAAGGAGGCTTGAAACCCTGGGCAGAAATGTGTGATACCATGGCCTTGGCCAAATAATTACTAGAGGTAGAGGTGCTGGATGTTGTCCGAGACACAAGTGGGTGGACCATTTGGGAACTCCCAGAAGTGGCATTAGACAAAGGAAGGCGGTATACTACTGGTTTATCTGAAGTCTTGGTTACTGGGGAAGAACAGGCAAGTTTGGGATTGCTACTTAATTTTACCACAGGATTGGTTTGAGATTTACTAATAGTAACTTGCAGAGGAGACACATATTTTTGTTGGGCAATGGACTGCTGGTGAACTTTTGCCACTTGTACTGTTGAGGAGCCACAGTTTTGGACTTCTGAGGAGGTTACAAGCACAACTGTATCCTTTGGCCTTTGTGAAGTAGGAGAAGCTGTAGCTTGCCCTTTACAGGAGGAAGAAATATGGGTCTGGGAAGAAGCAGCTTGTATTTGACTTGACCTCTGTAACCCTTGCTGCAGAAGCTTGGCAGGCAATGGTTCCAAGGAAACCTTAGGATTTTGAATTGAAGATCCAGCAATAAGGCCTGAAGAGATACCAGTCTGAAGCAAATCCTGGGATTTCTTTGGTACCGGTCCTGTGTGTCCAGCTATAAGACTTGATGAATGTTGTGTTTGAACAGCCTCTATCTTTTTTGAGGATGACAGAGGCAATTTGCTCATTATGCTTGCCAACTTCTCTTCTCTTAGCCCTGTCCGAGGTCTTGAAGCACATGTGTCCACAGGGGACACAACAGAAGAACTCTTGACTCCATTATTAATAGCAGCCAGAGCATCAGAAACAGAATCCAGTGAAGGCGGATTAAATGACAGATCTTCATCTAGTGAATCATCTAGGCAAATTGTCTCTGGAGCTGAAATACAACTGGTTACAGCATTGATAGGTGTGCTAGTACTTGAAGCAGGAACACAAGCTGAAGCAAAAGGGGGACATGCTCTCTGCTCCTTCTTTGGACTAGAGTCCTAGTGTAAAAAGAGAGAAAAATGAAATTGTTTTTGAATTCTGCTAGCAGTGATGTTTCCTAGTTTGTGTAACGAAACATCTGCAAGAAAACAACCAAGTTCAAAGAGCACCAAGGACCCCTTATTTCAACCCTGAGCTACAAATATTCTCCTTTATTGAAAACAGCTCTTTATAAAACAAAGGATTCTGTGGAGAGAAGGAAAAAAAAAGAAAAGAAAACAGCACAATGTATTTTACAATCTGTTTCTCGCTGAAATCTATTGGGTATGCTTTATTCTAAAGTAGAAAAATCTTTCTTTCTCAGGCAAAAAGCAAATCTTAAAAAATAGTTAAAGCAAGTATATGGCTTGATCAGTCTGACCTGATTTTATTTCAATGATAATGATTCACATTTTTATATTATACATATACAGCTTTCATGTTACTTACATGGAATATCCATTAAAAAAGCAAGGGATAAAATTAAAGACCAAATGGCATGCAAATAGCAACAAACATGATGTTTTACTTTAGGTATACCTAATATTCTAAATTTAGGGGGGTAAAATTTAAAATGGTGTAGTTATGAACCAAAAAAGAAAAACCTATGATTTACCACATTGCTAAATTGTAGTACCCAACAACTGCAGCCACTATGGCCAATGGTGAAGGGTATTGAAATGATAGTTCAGCAATATCTGGAGGGCTATAGATCAGACATGTCAAACTCGTAGCATCACGTGATGTCGTGCAACATATTGGGATGGTTTTGCCATTGCCGGCAATGGGGTGGGTGCAGCTTCCGGATGATGCATCCGGCCCATGGGCCGGCAGTTTGGCACGCCTGCTATAGATTATCCATCCCAATTCCAAAGTCTCTGTTCAATCTTAATGTTTTTTTCATCAACTAAGAAGAGTTTTGCAAAAAATAACATAACTGGAATAGAAATGCCTGCACCAGGGAAAAATTGATAGTGGGGAAATGGCTAAGAATCTACTATATCTCTCTTTGATTTTTTAATTCCTGTCCTTATCTGTTTACCTTAGATTGTACAGGTTTGATTTTTTAGGCCCATTTTTTGAAAACACAAACCTGCTACCATCATATGGATTTGGACTTAATGATCACTCAAATTAAAATAACAGCACTTATTTCCAGAATGCTCATGACATCACATTGTCCATATTATTGTTTGAACATAGATCTTTCCTAATTTGCTTCATCCTTAAAGCTTAAATATTGTAACAAAAGTTGCACTAGTCAACTAGCATCTAGGCAGTTCCAGTCATTGGATACACAGCTGGAATAATGGACTGAACTCAAGTAGAACTAAAAACTCTGGATAAGTAGCCCAGAAAAATGACATTATTCATGCATGAGTCATTCATGCAGCAGTGTTGATAGACTCTGCCTACCAAGGAGCATAGATGGGCATGGAATCTTGCAAGAATACCAGACAGTTGAAGAAAAAAAAAGGGCATTGGAAGAATATCTAAAGGATAGTAAAGAAGATGCACTGAGGTTAGTACACTATGAAGGCTTACTGAGTACTGGAGAGACCAAACTGGCCTACTAGAAACACCAAATGAAGATTAAAAAAGAGCGATGGCAAGGCAAAGTATTACATGGCCAATACATAAAAAAACAGCAGGAAAAGAATAATAAGACCTGGCAATGACTAAGAGCAGGAAAGTTGAAGAAAGAGACTGAGGGGTTAATTCTTAAGAAAAATATATACAGAACCAGAATTGAGAAGGTAGCAACAGACAACAAGTACCATCTTTGCAAAGAAGTTGAAGAAAGAGTAGATCACTTAGTTATCTGCTGTAAGAAGATTGCACAGACTGACTACAGACAATGGCATAACAAAATAGCAACAATGGTACACTGGAATATCTGCAAGAAATACCATTCACCTGCAAGCAAGAACTAGTGGGTCCACAAAACAAGCAAAGCAATAAAAAATGAAGAAGCTAAACTGTTCTGGGATTTAAAATTCTAACAGATATGCGCCTGCCACTTTGGACTTGAGTGTAGTAAAAACAACTGCGACCATCAAGTTGAGAAAGTTTTGGAAAATGAGTGAGTTAAGATCCTGAGGGTCTTTAAGATCCAAACAGACAAGCATCTTGCTCATAATATCCCTATAGAAAAGTTACTGAAAAGGGGCGTTGTCTTACCTGAACGCCTTTTCTCAGCATGGAGATGGAGAATCCACCAATGGGTTTAGACTGTATTCTTGCCCAATCAGATCAAGTCAGCCAAAGTTGCCATGCCCGTCCTGGACTATAGAGATCCCAGTCTTGACGTGAGCGTAGCCATTGACTGACAGCAAGACATTGTGGCTCACTAAACTAAGACTAACCCTAGGCCTAGATGACCTACAAGGGTGTGAGTGGATTCTCCATCTCCGTGCTGAGAAAAGATGTTCAGGTAAGACAACAATCCTTCTCCAGCACTGGAGATGGAGAATCCACCAATGGGACATACCAAAGCCTATTGTCCCTGAGGGTGGGAAGTAGACCGGTCCGGTGTGGCACTTTGATGAATAACTTGTTGGAGAACCCTCCTACTGGCCGAGGCAAACCTATCGATTTTGTAGTGCTGTATGAAAGGAGATGGTGAAGACCATGTGGCCGCTCTGTAGACGTCCTCAATGGACGCCTGAGTGGCCCAGGCCGTAGAAGTAGCTGCACTCTATGTAGAGTGAGCTGTAATCCGTTGTGGAACCGGCAATGACTCAGCCTGATATGCCCCGGCAATGCACGCCCTAATCCACCTGCCAATTGTGGAAGAGGAAACCTTCCGACTCCTGGAGGAAGGATGGAAGGATACAAAGAAGGCCTCTGATTTGCGTCACGCCGCTGTCCATGAAATATAGTACCGGAGCGCTCTGCGGACATCCATGCTATGCCATTGCCATTCCAGAGCATGCGATGGGTTAGGGCAAAAATCTGGGAGCACTATTTCCTGGGCTCTATGAAATAGTGAATTGACCTTTGGAAGGAAAGTAAGGTCGAGGCGAAGGAGCACTTGATCCTGGTGGAAAATGCATAGGTTATCCTGGATTGAGAGCGCTGCCAATTCGGAAATACGTCGTGCCGACGTGATTGCCACTAGGAATGCCACTTTGTGGGACGGGTAACGAACGTCGCACGACTTTAGGGGCTCAAAGGGCAACTTGGTCAGAGCCCGAAGGACCCGTGGTAGCTCCCATGAAGGGTACCTGTGCACTGTAGGGGGTCTGGTGTTAGCGGCCCCCTTAAGGAATGAGCGGAGTAAGGGGTGATGTCCCAATGACCCCACGGAGTCACAGGTGAGGACTGTGGAAAAAGCAGCTATCTGTCTGTGTGATGTGTTTGGAGCTAAGCCCCTCTCCAGACCAGAAGGACATGGGGGATCGTGAGTTCCAAGAGTGACAAGTGTCGACCTGAGCACCAGGAGCAAAAGTTCTTCCATGTGGCCTCGTAAATACAGTTTGTGGAAGAGCAACAGGAAGCCTGGATTACCGTAATGACCCCTGGTGAGCAAAGTTCCCATAACCAGATTGAGCGCTCAAGTGCCAGATGGCTAACTGGAGCCATTGGCGTTCCGGATGGAGAATGGTCCCCTGGCTGAGCAAGACCCGGTCCAAAGGAATCCGCCATGGAACTGCAAGGGAGAGGCTCATCAGATCGGCGAACCAAGGCCTCCTTGGCCAATAAGGGGCCACTAGGAGTATCTCCGCTCGCTCCCGAAGAAGCTTGCGTATTGCCGCCAGGAGAAGAGGTAGAGGGGGGAAGGCATAAAGCAGACCCTGCAGCCATGGGCTCCGAAGAGCATCCGTCTGTTCCACCCCTGGAGATGGAAACCAGGAGAAGAATCGAGGCAGCTGGGCATTGGACGGGGACGCAAAGAGATCCAAATGCGGTAGGCCGAAACAGTGACAGATTTCTCTGAACACCCTCGGGTGGAGGTGCCACTCTGAGTGATCTACCGATGCCCTGCTCAGAAGGTCGGCCTGAGTATTTGCCTCCCCTGAAATATGATCGGCCTTGATGGAGGCCAGATTGTGTTCTCCCCAGGAGCCCAGTAAGAGCGACTCAGTCAACAGAATCCAAGATCGGGTGCCCCCCTGTCAGTTTACATGAGCCTTGGCAGCCACATTGTCCATGAGGACCAGTATGTGGCGCCTTGTCACCAGGCTGTGAAAGTGGCGGAGGGCTAGATGTATGGCCTATAGCTCCAGCCAATTTATGTTGTGACGAAGGTCTGAGTGGGGCCAACGGCCCTGTGCCCACTGCGAGTGAAGGTGCGCTCCCCAGCCGAACAGGCTGGCATCGGTTGTTAGCACTATCCGATCTGGCTCATTGAAGTATGACCCTTTGAGCATGGCGGGCGATACCGTCCACATGAGGGAGCGCGATACCTGAGGTGGGAGTCTCACCCTTCGTTGGGAGGCACTGAGGTTCTGCCTCTGGAAGGGGAACAAGAACCACTGCAGTTCCTTGGAGTGAAGCCTGGACCACGGGACGATCACTTTGGCTGAGATCATCTTCCCTAACAATTGAGAGAGACTGGCCAATGTTACTGTCCGACCCCTGCGTAATTGGAGGACTGACTCCCTTATGCTGTCCCGGCGTTCTTGAGATAAATACACCTCGCACTCCACCATGTCTATGATGGTCCCAAGGTGTAACAGCCTTGTTGTGGGAACCATATGGCTCTTGGGGAAATTTACAGAGAACCCGTGATCCTGGAACAGCTTTACTACCAGTTCAAGGTCCGCTATGGCGGACTGGGTGGACAATGACTGAATTAATATGTCGTCCAAGTAATATTAGATTCTGACTGGTACCATCCTTAACTGAGCTGCTAGAACTGCCAGGATCTTGGTAAATACCCTGGGAGCCGATGATAGGCCAAATGGTAGTGCCCTGTACTGAAAATGATGCCCCTTGTGAGCGAATCTTAGAAACCGGCGGTAGTCGAGAAAAATGGGGATATGAAGGTATGCTTCCATGAGGTCGACAGACGTCAGGAAGTCCCCTTTTCTTACGCTTCCCAAGATGGAATGGAGTGTTTGCATCTTGAATTTGCAGTATGCAAGATGATAATTCAAGCCCTTGAGATCTAAAATGGCTCTCCATCCCCCCGATGCCTTGGGGACGACAAAGAGGATGAAATAAAATCCCCGACCTCTCTGGTCCGCTGGCACCGGTTCTATGGCCCGTATATTTAGTAGATGTTGGATGGCTTCGTTCATTAGTCTTTTCTTTGTTCGATTCTGGGGGTATGGGCAAGAGAGAAATCGATTTGGGGGGTTGGAGATTAACTCCAGGGAAAGGCCGTCACGTACGGTGTTGAGTACCCATGCGTCCATGGTGGTGGCCTCCCACTGGTGGGCAAAAAGAGAGAGCCTGCCCCCTATGGGAGGGACCGCTGGAGAGTCACCTGGCGCGTGGAATGGTCGGCCATTCCTGCAAAAGGGTCACTTGCCCTGAAATTGCTGTCTAGGTCTGTCCGCCTGCCTATCCTGTCTGTCCTGCCTGGCCGGGAAAGGGCAGATGGGTTGAGTGTAGTTATACCTAGCCCCTGCACGAAAAGACTGTCTTCTCGGATAATAATTGGACCGTTTGTCTGATTTCTTAAGGAGGTGATTAAGGACTTTGCACTTATCCTTATTTTCAGTGAGATAAGGATTCAAAGCGTCTCCAAACAATTTACCTCCCTGATATGGAGCTGCCGACAGATACCACTTGGACTTGGCATCGGCGTGCCAGTGTTTCAACCAAAACATACAGCACCCAGTGACGCTGGACGCCATAGCTCTTGAGAAAAATATGGCGGCTTGGAGAGTGGCATCTGACGCATACTCAATGGCTGCCACCATCTTGCTAAGATCCTGGTGTGTGTGGATATCCTCCGCTGAAATACAGGCCTGGAGCTGCCTGAGCCAGCGAAGGGTGGATCTATTAAAGAAGGATGGAGGTGGCCACCCTAATGGCCCATGCAGCCGCTTGGTGCGTCCTGCGATAGGCGAGTTCGCACTTACGGTCCTCGGCTTTGAGAGCCTCAGAGACATCCCCAGGGATGGCGGTGGGAGATACTAGGGGGATGAATCGTTCGTCCACTGCGGGCACTTCCAGGGCCTCCTCCAGATCCTTGGCCATGTTGTATAGTTTTTTTATCAGTGTTACCTGGGAGGGGAAGGGAGGCCAGAGATGTCCACTGTTTTCGGACTGCATTCAGGAACATGGGGGGACAAGGGATGCGGTGTTGAGCTGCCACCGGTTCAGTGAAGTTTGGGTCCACCTCCGAATCTGGGGAAACAGTGGTTGTTGTTGAGGAAGGATCAGGCCCCTAGATGGGCTGTGGATGTGGCCTTGTGGAGTAAAGGGACAAAGAAGGAAGAGTTGAAGAGGCCGCTAAATGAAGGGGCTTCAGGAGGAAGCTCCTCCTCCTCAGACATTGGAATCCCCTGTTCAATGTCATGTTCGCGAAGGGATGAGCCCTCAGAGTAAGTGGACCCAAACGGGGAAGAAGGAGCGTAATAGGTTTCAGGAACCGGTTGATGAGTAGGGAGATGAGCGACGGCCACTGGTCTAGGAGTTTGCGCTCTGGCCTCCAGAGTGCGGTCTACTGCTTGCGCAATCAGTAAGGCTAGACAGTCCTCCGTAGGGAGGAGAACAGGCTCACTTGGCTGAAGCCCAGCCGCAGTAGGGGTGAAGGTAGCCTCGGGGGTCCCGTGTAGCAGCAGGTTGGGAAATGGGACGAGCTTGGTCCGTATCACATGGTGCAGGGGAAGGTAAGGGTTCCCCTATCGACCATATTTCTAGGGGAGAGGTGGGGGCCCCCAGTGGTAAGTCAAAAGGGGAACCTTTGGCTAGAGAGGTCTCTAATCTGGCTATTTTCTGTGCCCTTGAAAATTCCTTTTCTGGAGCTTGGTGTCTCCGGCTGACCTGCTTTTCAGCTCTCTTGGAGTTCTTGGCAGTAGTTCTGACCTTGGTTTTAGTTGCAGTCTTGTCAGCGCCCTCCAGACCAGATGGATTAGGATTCGTTGGAGCCGATGAAGACGGCAAAACGCCCTTTGAGGAAGGCACAGAATCCTCCATTCTCTGATAACACAGGAGCACGATAGGGTACCCCTGGTATCCAGAGAGTATTGTACACTGGGTAAGGAAAGGCGCACTATTGGGGACGCCTGGAATCCAGGTAAAGCTGCTGAGTGGATAAGGACAGGCGCATGACAGGGGACGCCTGGAATCCAAATATAGCAGTTGTATGGATAAGGACAGACACACTACCAGGGGCGCCTGGAATCCGTATAGAGCTGATGTGGATAAGGACAGGCGCACTACAGGGGGTGCCTGGAATCCAGATGAAAATTAATTGTGCGTATGACAACAGGTGCACGGTAAGGTACGCCTGTAATTTAGCGACCCCAGTCACGCTGGGTTAAGTGTTATGAGCAAGGTGGGGCTGGGAGACACCAAACCTGAAAAAAGGGCCAAAAAGCCTGGCTAATTAAGAAGGCCTGTAAGATCCTAAGTGTGACAAAGACCCTGGGAGGCTGAGGCCGGACCAGAATAGTTCTCTAAGAAAGCTTGGAGACTCTGTTGTAAAACAGGATAGCAGGCCTCAATTGAAAACTAGGCCTATCTGGTGCACAAAATGGCAGCCATCTCCCAAGATGGCGGCCATCTCCCAGGATCCCCTTCCTTATAACAACCCAGTTCGAATCTCCCCCAAGTCAGGAATTGAGAATAAATTCTGAAGTTCCTGAATGGGAAAGAAAGAGAGATTTCACTAATGGGAAGGCAAATTTTGTGCTGAATACAGCACTACGCAGCAAACTGGGAAGATGGAAAATCCACCAATAGAGATTGTACCTGCCTAAGAGCCAAACTTGCATGTCTGTCCTGGGCGAAATCAAGTCAAGACTGGGATCTCTATGGTCCAGGACGGGCGTGGCAACTTTGGCTGACTTGATCTGATTGGGCAGAAATACAGTCTAAACTCATTGGTGGATTCTCCATCTCCAGTGCTGGAGAAGGTTTAGGAAAAACAATTGGAAAAAATTACAAAATACCAGGACTTGCAGATTGAATTTGAAAGCTTATAGAAAAAGAAATCTGTTATTATATTGTGACTGGAGTCCTTGGAAAAATACCTAAAGGACTTTCTCAATATTTGGAAATATAGAATTTATCAGACCTCAATACTCTAATTTTACAAATAAAATCACTCTGTTTGGAACTGCCTATACTCTTAGAAGCTACCTTAATAATTTTTAGGTCCTTAGTTAGGACTTCAATTATTAAGTTTTTATAGTCTTAGACTGTGAATCTAAGTGTAGATTACTTCAACACAATTTATTATTATTATTGGTCCTTTGAAAGAACTTAATACATATGAAAACCAACACCAACAAAAGAACTGGCAGCTGTGACTGCATATTCTTGTGAATGGATAATAATTTATTTTCTATTTTCTAAAATAAAATAAAGCCACCATGCACTTGTCAGCATATAGAAAATTGCAAAGCTATAAATATTCTGGTAGAGTTGATTACTGTAGGTCCTTGGAGAGGACTCAATAGGTGATCAAAAATGCCAAATCCTATCCAAATATCTGGCTGACTGTACAAGCAACCATAATAATTTATTATTCTTGTATACCACCCAGCCAGTGGTGGTATTCAGCCATTTCGCACCACTTCGCCAGAACCAGTAGCTAATTTTTTATTGCCCAGGCCCAGAATGGACTTCCGGAAGCGGCATCCACACAGAGAACTGGTTGTTCACATGTTTGAATCCCACCATTGTACCCAACTAACAATGAGTGGCCCACAGCAATCAAGCAAAGCAGCTACAATAAAATACTTCACTGAAATGTTGTTCTATTTAGTATATTTCAGACTATTATTTCTTCATTTATAAGTAATTAATTATTTACCTTTCCTTTGGGTTTAGGTGCCAGAATCACCTTCTTCTTTGTTCTAAAGAGGACAGTGCAAAGATAATTATAACAATATCTGTAATTTTTATTCAAGCACTAGGTCCTGTTGAAAATTTACTGCTATAATTTTACTGCTAGAGAGAAGGCTAACTAAATCTAGAATATGCACATTGAAACCAGCATGTGAAAACAGCTTATTTAAATTCAGGATTTTTAGCAAGTGACTCTTGCAGAGGTGGTGCCACTTTGAACAACAAGCATTATACCAGGTTATACCCAGAATAATTAGAAATGCTTCTGAAAACAAGGCAAGACAATATTCAGGGAAAATAGTACATGCACTGGAGATTAATGGCCTTTCCCTAAAAAAGTTATTCCATAGTTTCGATGATATCACTGGGAATATTCAAATAGGTAAGCTAAGTCTTTCACAGAAAGATTACTTTGCTGGATTTTGAGTAATTACAGCATGAAGGAGAACAAACCACTAGAGAAGATAGCTTTATATGTCTGCTTTTCATATAAACCAATTCTACGGCAGCAGCACCCCCCACAAATATAACTGGGAGTAAGAATATGCATGAATATCTAGTAGCAGTTGGTTTGAAATATAGTATCATGTGGTGTTTGGAAATCTTGACAAGTGGGTCTTCATGATTTTAAAAATGTAAAAAAAATCAATAATAATTTCTGACAGCCAAGTAGCAGTGTTATATGTTTAATATTACTATACTATTTGCTGCAGAAGTTGTTTTCATATTAAAGCATAATTTCATATGTTTAAGGAAATGTACTGCATGCTACCTGTTCGCAAAATTCTTATTTTTAGATATGTCAAGAATAAACCATAATAATTAGAATTTTGAATTTCTATTACCAATGGAATTACAATCTAAACAATAACTATTGTAATAAACATAAATTATTATGAAATTCAGACAATCATGATTAAAGAATTGCAGATAAATAGGAAAAGTATATATATTGATGTTATACTCACAGAGCAGATGTAAGATGATTATGAACACTTCGGCTTTCTTTAAAGAGCATCCTGTAGAGAGACATGTGGAGAAGAAATAATTGTAATTTATCAAATTTATTAATTATTTCTCAGAGATCATTTTATGTACTCATTTATGTATACACCTGCTTAGCAGAAGAAGGTGGCTGAAGACAAATATACTCAAAAATTACAATTTGATAGCCTTCCGCAATATAGGCCACAGCAGGTGGCTGCAGCAAGCAAACCATAAAAATAATCACTTATAAATATCTTATGAAGGATCATCTATAGATGACAAACAATAATTAAATCAGACCATATGAAACAGGCTGCAGTATAAAAATTAAATTTGTCTTTATTAATTTGTTACATCTGTACATCATCCTAAAAGTTCTGTGAAGCTCAATTACATAAAATCCACCCACAACTATCAATAAAAACTAAACTGCAACATAATAAAATCACAAATGGTGAAATCTTTTTATATCTGCAAAATAGTGATTATATCAAAATTTCCCTCAATACAGTTAGTCCTCGAGTTACAAATGTAATAAAGCCTGCCCATTCCATTCATAACTTGAGGATTCGGATGAGTGAATCTCGTATCTTGAACACAATTCACTCCCACCTTTTGCCCACACATTCGCTAATGCGTGGGCGAATGCATGGCTCATTAAATGAACATGAGGTATCTCAGGGTGGGGAAGGCTATGGGGGGTCCTAGTGTTTCCGACCACTCAAGGCCTCCCCCAACCCATTGAAATACCTCATGCTCCCTCCCCTGGGGCCCACAATTGCTCCCCCCACTTACCTTGTGAAGATCTGTCTCTTTTGCAGCCTGTTTCTTTCTCTGCTCCTGGTAAGAGCAGAGCGAGGCCTCCAAGGCCCAGAATGGACCTCTGGAAGCACGTGGCCGCCTCCCACTGCTTCCATTCTGGGCCTCTGAGGCCTGCACAAGGCCTCTGAGGCCCAGAACAGGCCCACTGAAGTACCCCCCCCCAGCATCCTTTCCGGCTGGCAGCAGCCTGGAACAGGCCTTTGATGCCTGGAAATAACATCGGGGACATTTCAGCGGGGCTCTGAAGGCTCGATCCAGGCGTCGGAGGCCTTTTCTGAGCTGCTGCTGCTCAGAAAGGAGGCCCAGAACAGACACCAAGGAAGACTTTTGCATGCCTCTGGAGGTCCGTTCTCCCCCGGCTTCTGTTCCGTTCTCTGTTGCAGAGAACACAGGCCTAAATTACTGTAAGATCACATGGGATCAGTAACGTGAGATCTCGCGTGACTGATCTTGTGTAATCTTGTGTTACTTTAGGCCTCCATTCTCTGCAAATGCACTGAAGGAAGCAGTGAAACACCCAAGAAAGCAAAGGATCTCTTGTTCTTTGTAAGGAGAGTATCCATAGGCCTAGTGCCTAGGGCAGTGGTGGTGAATCTATGGCACACGTGCCATAGGCGGCACTCAGAGCCTTTGCTGTGGGCATGCGCATTGTCGTCCCAGGAGAGTTTGCCAGAGTAGCGAGCATGTGGCATTTGGAAGCGACGTGGCAGGAAGTTAGCGAGCAAGCAATGTTGATCCCCAGGGATGCCCCAGAGATAGCGAGAGACTGGCCCCCATCAGTCCGGCGGCCCCCAAGGCATGCACACAGAAGGCGGTGAATGCATGGGGGCTGAAAGCATCCGGCAACAGCCCATTGTGAATAGTGGGCCGTCCCTCCAGCAGCAGCGCTGCAGCAGCACTAACAGCACACAGAGTTGGGGGAGCACGTGATGTGGCCTGTGGGCCAGGTGCTCTGGGCAGCGGCGGCAGCCTAATGGACCTGTATGAGCTGCTGGCAGCAGCAGCCCGAGGTGGGGCCAAGGTGCGTTGGGTGCACAAGGGGAACAGGTTCCACGCATGGGCCAAGATGACCAGCAGTGACCTGCTCTCCAACCGCAAGCAAAAACAGATGGGACAGAGTAAGCGCATCTGGCAGTCTGCATCATGTGCATCCCCCCTCCCCTACACCGCCTGCTGCTGGAGGGCTGGTCCAGTATTGGCAGCGGGCTGCAGAGCCCCAGAATGCGCTGGTCAAGGGGCTGGCAGTCTGTGGCTGCTGACGGACAGCGTCAGCCCCCATGTGCTTGCTGGCTTCTGTGTGCGGCGGCCGATGGTGTCAGGCAGCAGCCACCCCTGCCCCTGCCTCGCCTTGCCCTATGGCAATGGCACCGCCGCCTTGCCCTCTACCTCACCCCATAGGACGAGCCTCCTGCCCACTGCCCCATTTAGCAGAGACCCCCTGGATTAAAGGTGGGTTTTAAACAATTTAACAACCGGTTCTCTGCTTCACCTTTCCTCCACTTTGGTCGGGGTGGGCTGCTCAAGAAGTCGGCTGAGGTGGGGGCAAGAGGTCCACGGGGGGGGGGGCAGGAGGGTATGGTTGGAGGCAGCTGCAGGAGTCTTAGAATGGGATGGGTGCAGGAGGGTGGGGGGATCAGCAGGTCCCAGCTGGGGGAAGGGGAGGTGGTCGGGCTAGGGAGGCAGGAGGGCCAGGATGCCTCCATGGTGGAAAGCTGTGCCCCTGCCGGCCAAGCCTCTCATCCACACCACGGTCACGTAGGATTGTGTAGAAGGGGGCTGGAGGGGAAGTGGATGGCAGGGAGGGAATCAGAGTAGCTGCCGTCTCCTTTCCATAGTGCAGCCCCATTGGTATGGGCAGAGACAGCTGGAAGTGGGTCTTCACCCTGGCCAGGCCCCATCAGCTCAGCGCCTCTGACAGGGGTGGCGGCTGCGGCTGCTCCTAGCCCATTGACCAGCTGGCCATGCAGGGAAGCAGGAGGAAGTGGTGGTGGCAATCCCTGCATTGCCAGGCCCAGCCAGTAGCAGCTCCAGAAGCAAAGCTGTGCCACCCATCCTCACACGGGTGGGGGCAGCGGTGGGGGAAGGCAGGCCCTGGCATGTGCCCACCCCTTGCTGCTGCCGCTCTGCATTGTCCCACGGGCCCTCGCTACTGCTGTCCCGGCAGATGCCGCACTGCAACAGGGAGAAGGCAGGCTGCCAGCTGGGCCTGGCGATACAGGGATCACTGCCGCCACCTGCTTCCCTGTATGGCCAGTAGATGGTGTGCTACGGTGCTTGGGCAACGCGCTGGGCTGGGTAAGAGGCGGCAGCATTGGCGATCCTGCATTGCCAGGCCCAGCCGGCAGCATGCCGTCTCCCTTCCACAGCATCTGCCAGGATGGCAGTGGCGAGGGGCCGGGGGCATACACAGGAAAATGCAGAGTGGCAGCGGCGAGCACGTGCCTGTCTTCTTCCTATGGAACCAAAGTTAGAGGGTGGGTGGCTGGAGAGAGGGATGGTTGGGGTTCTGTCTGCTTTATTACCAGCAGGCTATTAACAGGCATCCCGTTCCACTTCACAAAAAAAAACCTATTTTTTATTTTTAATGAAATAGTTCTGTGTTGACCCAGAGATGGATGGAGAGCACTTTTAAGTTTATGCATGTTGATAGCCTGCTGCGTTAATAAAGAAGGCAGAAACACAACTGTCCCTCTCTTCAATCAGCCATCCAGTAACTCGCTGAGGTCCCACATGGCAGATGCATCCCAGCATGGCTGGTTTCCCTCCCCCCCGTCTTGGCCTCGCAAGCTCTCCCTTGTTCCCGGGCACGACTCATTACAGCGCCTCCTCAGCTGTTGGCTGGCCGGCCAGCCAGCTCAAAGGCGGCTTGTCTGAATTGCTGGCGGCAGGCGAGGCGGGGGCTGCTTTTCGTCTTCTCCTCTGGACAACTTCAGCAGATCCTCCCTCACCTGCCCACCCACTCTTTTCCCTTTCACTCTCCTTCTGAGCCCACACAGCCACCGAAGTGGCAGGTGGAGCGCCAGAAAGCATTTCTCTGCCGCTGTGGAGTTGGAGATCTTGCCCCACCCGCCACCGCCCAGATGCCCTTGCTTCCCAAACCATTTTTTTTCTAACCTTCTTTCTAGTTCCTCCGTCACTTCCTTGATTACCATGTGCAGTTCCAGAAACAAAAGAAGTTTGTGGGACTAAAAAAAAAGTTCAATCAACTTGGTGAGATCTTTTTTTTCTGTGTGAGAAGTTGGATTTGATTGATTGAAAATGGCAGCGGAAGTGACAGAGGACCATGTCAGAGCTGGAAAGGTGTTGCATGGGTCCGATCGGAGGTGGGAGGGGGTGGCGTTTCTGCCATGCATCAACCAGTTCTCTGAACTCAAAAGAAATTAGCTACCAGTTCTACCGAACCGGTGTGAACTGGCTGAATCCCACCACTGCCCTGGATCTCCCCCAAACCTGCCCAGCTCCTACAGGCGTCCTCCCCATGAGCAACATTGAAGTGGCCATGCCCACGACTACTCCATCTGCCGTGACCACCACAGCCATGCCCACCCAGTGGGCCACGCCCCCACCCCCCTGAAGGCAGCACAATGCTGATGCAGCCCTGGCACTTTGCGATAAATAAGTGGGTTTTGGATTGCAGTTTGGTCATTTGGTCTCTGAAAGGTTCACCATCATTGGCCTAGGGAGACCTGGGGTGGGGGAGGGAGGGAAAAGCCAGGGTGAACGTTGAAGTGCTACTGTGGTTGTTCGTAAGGGTGAACAACTGCCATGGTGCGGCAACATTCATAATTTTGGGACTTTTTTGCAAACATTAGAGGGCACATCGAACGTTCACTAAGGGAACGCTTGTAACTCAGGTATTACCTGTAACCATAAATCTGATCCGAGGTTGGCAGATCTTCTTCCAAAAAGCTAATATTTTTGAAAGCTTTTACTCTAATTGCACAGTGGAAAGATCAAGTTAATACATCTTACAATTCAACATTTAAGAGTCCAAATATGCCTGCCTTGCACATTAAGATCCATTCAATTATTATCACACAATTCTGCAAGCTTAATATCCTTTCAGCTAAAACTTTCTCCTGTTTGAAAATTTTGAATAGCAGAGATTAGCACCCATCTCCTCACAAAGTACTTCGACTATTCAGCTGCGGTGAGTCAAACATCAAACAACTCAAGCATTTTTTGTTGAATAATGCAATACAATTTGCCC